CCTATAATCCCAACACTCAGATCACTGTGAGTTCAAGTCCAACCTGGGCTACATAGTGAGTTCCAGGTCAGTCTCAACTACACAGTGAGACCCTGTCTCAAAAAAACAAAAAAAAAAGAATGCTTGAAATTACAAGATGAGGTCAGAAGCTTATGTGGTACAAATTCTCTAAATATAAATTCTCTTAATTTTCTTCAGCATCACCTGAAGCCCAAATACTTCTTTTCTTTAAACTGGCTGTTATCAAGATGGACCTAAGCCAATCTTAATGTTATTAGAAAGGAAGATAATTTCTTCCCCTCAAATTCAGTTAAGATACCATTAAAATCCAACCTTTTAACGGGTGTGGTGGGGCATGCCTGTAATCCCAGCACTTGGGAGGCTGAGGCAGGAGGATCGCTGAGAGTTCGAGACCAGCCTGGGCTACATAGTGACTTCCAGGTCAGACTCAACTACATAGTGAGACCCTGTCTCAAAAAAAAAAAAAAAAAAAAAATCCAATCTTTTGAGACCTCATCAGCATTAAGAAACACAAGAAAGTTTCTCACCTATAGATACAACTACAAGAAATGTAACTGCTACTAAAAATCTCACCTTTAGCAAAAATTAAAATTAAAATACCAACAAATTATGATATTTAGAACCAAAAGTTTATTTTGTTAACTAAACTCTCCCCTATAACTCTTCACAAATTTTTAGATATTGAGAGAAGACTGATGTTGAAACATAGATATTTTTTTGTTTTGAGACAGGGTTTTACTATAGAGTCCAGGCTGGCCTTGAACTCGCGGTAATCCTCCTGCCTCAGTCTTCCAAGTGCTGGGATTACAGGCATGCACCACCACACCAGGCAAGATATGCTTTAATATTTTACATTAAAACATTTTTTTACTATTTCAGAGTCAGTGAAATTCCCTCTGAACAGTTACAAACCAGGGCCTACTGTTTTCTGCAGTCTCACCATGCAAGTTAGGCAATAGAGACACTAAAGTTATATGACTTTGTTACATAAATAATGAAACAGCGTTCTTTCTTAAGTGGCTAATTAGTGAAAAGAGAAATGTAACTGGAGTGAAGCAGTCAAGACTGAAAAGCAAATGTGCATTCTTTATATGAAAATTCAACCAACAGACCCAGATACAGTGAAGAGTTCCTTGGAGCCGGGGATTTAGCTCAGTGGTTCCACACCTGTCTTACAAGTAAGTGTGCAAGGTACTGAGTTCCATTCCCAGTACTGAAACAACAACAACAAAAGTTCCTTGGTCTGCGTTTATTTGTCTATGAGGTCTTTGCCTTTGCAGTAAGCATATCTCCAACCTAAATACCCTTTTGATTTTTTCTAGCAATCCATATCAGCTTTTTCACTCAAAAGTCTTCTCCAAATTCAACTTTTTTTGTGGGGGCTGGTACTGGGGACTGACCCAGGGCTTTCATACTGAGCTACATCCCCAACCCCTTTACAATTTTTTTTTTTTTTTTTTTTTTTTTTTTTTTTTTTTTTTGGTACCAGGGATCGAACTCAGGTCCTCGCACTTGCGAGGCAGTCATCAGAACCACTGAGCTAAATCCCCAGCCCTTTATAATTTTCTCAGACAGGGTCTCACTAAGCCACTACATTGCCCAGGGTGGGGTTAAACCCGTATCCCTCCTGCTTCAGCTTTCCACAGCAGCAGGATTACAGGCATACGCTACCACATCTGGCTCAAATCAGCTCTGACAGGAGAACAGTACTATAGCAAAGCCCCTTGACTATCACCACTCAGTCATTATATATCCCCTCAGCATTACTCTATCTAGTTTGAAATTTATTTACTTGTTTTGATGTAGATTGTGAAGTAATATATTACTGAAATAAAAATATATATCACAACTATAGCCTATCTTGTCTATTATGTAATTTTAGGCATATCGCTTAGCTTTGATGACTCAAACTTTCTATCTATATCATGGGAAGATTATAATCTCTCATTTAATAAGAACAAATGATGTTAAGTATAAGCTTTAAAAAAAGGACAAGAACTAAAGTCCAAGTTACTCTTAGTTTAGATTCTTAGTATTTAAGTAGTCTTACTAAATTATAGTTCTTTTGAGCATTAGAAATATTTCCCTATATTAGAAGATTGCAGGAAGTTCATGGCCATCCTGGACTACATAGTAAGACCCTATCTAACTAAACAAAACAAAACACAAGAAAGAAATCTGATTGATCAGGGAAGGGTACAAAACTCCAAAAATAGCTAACTATTCCTCACAATTTTGTTTCTTTTATATCTCATTATTTGTTTTATTCAGAGAACTATGCTTCTTATTTAGGTGTTTTCTAAAACAAAGATCAGTAGGTTTACTAACAAATTCTAATAATAACAGTGTAATGGGTTTAGAATGAATGATCTTCATCAATACCTAAGTATAGTTCTTCTAAAAACTGCTTGCTAAGTAGTCCATGTGCCCTAAGTACCTATGATTTAGCAATAAATGTATTAGTAGCAGTTAGAGACAAGATGTCATAAACATTGGCAGCGAGACTTGGTTTGAGGGAGAAAAATTATTAAATATATTGCTAAACAAATTCAAGGAGAGCTCTTATGAACTTCATAGTTGACAGGCAAATGTTAATAGGAAGAAAGAGTGCTTTCCACAAACTTCGACTTAAGCTCTGAGGAAAGGATATAGACTTACATTAAAAAGCACATTATCCTAACTTTTATTCTTTTCCCCCCTCCTGTGAAAAGAAGAGTTCAGTACCTACAACATTTGAAAAAAAAAAAGTGTCAGGAATTTCTCAGACAAATTTCTCAGACTGGATTTTTGTTTTTTGAAGAGAAATAATGAAGATGAGGCATGAGAATACTCTCAGACACAGAAAATATCTTTTCTCTTGATATAAATATCCAAATTAATAAATAAAATAAAAATTGGAAATGCCAGATTGCCAAAACAGACTTTTTAAAGGCACTAATGATGAAACAAAAATGTAAACATTAAAAAATTTTGACCTGTCTCACAACAGGCTCATTTGATTATCTGTTATAGTCTCTGGGAAATACCTCCAATGTATTATTGTGGAAATAGTGCAGAATAGAACAATACGTACTTTACAGGAATATAAGCTTTGTTACAATTCAAAATGTTTTAAAACTTTACCAGTCTTTATGAAATAAAAATATCTCACAGCTTTGAAAATAATCCATCTTCAAACAAAGTAAAGAAACTTAAACTTGTCAGTTTAATTTCTAAATGTGGCCCTATGCATCAGGGAAAAGAAGTATGCAACTATTACAGGTTTTTAGCATTAATGAAGTCATATGGAAAATATTTTTTTAAAAATCTTTCACCTATGGACAATTTTCATGTTATTATTATAGTGAAAAGCTAAAAACCTTCAAAAATAATCATATATTTTCTACTATTATACATCAACAATAGTTATAATGTCTATCAATTCTCCTAGTTCTTAAGATGATCTTTGCCCTGGGAAAAAAATAATAAAAATAATGGACAAAACTTTCCAAAAGTTGTGCTTGGTATTCAATAAAAGACACTTGGCATCTATATTTGCTTATTATTTTAAAATTTAATTTCAGGAGAAAAATTTTAATTATTTTTATGAAGGGCCTGAAGAAACCCCAGTGAGACATTCTGTGGAGAGGTCCTTTGTTAGTGTAACATCTGACCTTCTATATCTGGAAATCATGCAACTTGGCTAATGTAGTTCTTAAAGAATTAATCAAGCAGATTGTAAGGCCCTAGCTACAGTGAAGCCAGCCAATTATGAGTTGCTCAGAAATTCATCACTGGCATGTCCAACCACATTTTCCCACATAAAGATTAGTAGAAATATGTGGAAGCAAGGCCTGTTCCTACCACAGCACAGATACAATATGTATTTAGTAAAACCAACAAAGTTTTGCCTAGTAAAACAGATAGTTTATTTGGAAATCTTTTTTATTCCTGACTTTACCCTAATATCTTTTTCTGCCAATGGTAAAGATTGCCTAGTTAAAATCTAAGTAGAGACTTTTACATTCAAACACACCTCTCAATTCAAAGCACTAAAGTCATATGCCGCCTGAACTCATCAGTAAGTTAGTAAAATCCCCAAAGACCATCTTTTAAATCTTTACTTTTGTGATAACACCCTTCCAAGCCTTACTTAGAAGAAAGCTTTCTCTGCAAGAGCAGTGAAAGGGGCCAGAAGAGATGAAGACTGGTTCTCTAAGGAGAGGGCCGTTCTGCTCTTAAATAAAGACGCTCCTTTCAGATAAGCAGAATCAGATTCCAGTTCAGTTGGTTTGCTGGCTACCCTTACTTTGAACTCTCATATTTAACCCAGCAGGCTTCAAAGCAGGTGAGAAAATAACCTACCACTTAAAAGCAATTTTTTCGTTTTCAGGAATTCTGGCCTTGGAGAGTATCAGCTCTGATATCAGCACATTCCACATCTCTAGGGATTTATGCAACTTTTCATTGCTCTATGTCTAACGTCAAACCAGATTTTCATCTCAGCCAGGAGAAAAATCAGGGGAAAAAAATCCTAATTTGGTAAATATGAAATCTTATTCCATATAGCCTTATACTATGCAAAATAAGAGATATTATAACCACTAACCGTTCTAATTGATTCCTTTCCATTTATCTAAATCTTGATATACAGTGAGAATTATTAAAAATGATTAATCCCCAGTGCCTGGCATCATAAAAAAGCAATTTTTATAACAAATATATTTTAAGAAATTCAAATTGAATTTGCTCCAGTATGAAAGCTAATATAAAAAAGATATTAGTCTAGGTGTGGTGGCACATGCCTGGAATCCCAGCACTTGGGAGGCTGAGCCAAGAGGATCGAAGTGAGTGTGAAGCTAGTCTAGGCTACACAGTGAGGTCAAGGCCAGCCAGAACTACATATTGAGACCATGTCTCAACATACAAAAAGTAAAAAACAAAAATACCAAAAAGATATTAGATGAGGAAGAGACAGAGGTAACAATGAAGAAATTTAGGAAATTTTCTTAAATGACTCTGCCTTACTAAATAGAAGAACAAGTATGTTTCATCAGTTCCTACTTTATTTCGTCATCAGATATCTGACCTAATTGAAAATCCTAACATAGGTAGCTTGCAACTTATCAACAGCGTTGCCTGTGGCAGGAATTTGAAATATTTTTCCTCTTTTGTGGTTAACATATACATAATGTACTAAACGTATTGTACTAATAGTATGATACTGATATCATCAATTAAATGATACTCAACTACCATTTATGCTTCAGTTTTTATGGGAAAATGCATTTTGAGCTGTTAGGACTTATGTCCTTTATAGCTTGCTTTTTGGTGATAAGGGAGACAATGAGAGGGAAGAACAGCTAACACCTACTTTTTACTGTGGGTAGACACACTTCTAAATGCTCGATATATTTTAACTCATTTAACCTTCACCCAGACCTATGTGGCAGCACTATTCTCATTTTATAATTAAGGGTAGTGATAATGAAATAACTTACCTGAAGTTGCACACCCAGTAAGTGTCAGGGGGACTTAAAGCTAAACAGTCTGGCACCAGAGTCCTACCCATAACCACCCTGCAATTCTGCCCCTTCTCCATTTGGATGAAGTAGCACTATTCAGATGTTCTGTATTCCGCAGACTGGAGAAAGAATAGAGCAAGGATTCTCAAGCTCTAAATGTGTGCATAGGATAACCTGGGGATCTTGTTAAAATGCAGATTCCGATTCAGGAGGTCTGTGGTAGTGCCCGAGGTTCTGGATATTTTAACAGCTCCTGGGTGAGAGTTGGGCCCCTGGGATATAAACCACACCTTATGAAGTAGTGTAGAAGTAGAATCTGAACTCTAATTCCTTTGCTGTTTGTCTCTCAAGGCATTCATAGGTTGTATTTAGAAGCTGGAGACTGCCCACACTGTAATCATTTTCCATTAACTCTTAAATGGGACCTGCCTTTGAAACTGCTGCATGCCAGGTACTAGTTTGATTATACTATCAGTAAATATTTATCTTTTAGAAATTTTAAATGTACATGTAAAAGCCACGAGGATAAAATATAGCTGTAAAAGTTCACTGTCAGTGACATTTAAAATTTTATGTACAAAAACAAAAACTTAAGTGAGTAAATGCTTGTTTATTGTACATCAACTAGAATCACAGTATATCAATAACTTTTAGCCTTTTTTTTAGTCTTAAAAAGAAGCTTCCACTTTAAAATATGTAATTCTTCATTCTCAGGCTCTGCTAGAAGAGTGCTAAGGAACTTATACGATGTAATCTTAAAGGCTCGTCTGTTGCCATTAGTGACCTCTTAGCCAAAGGCAGTCACTGTAAACGAACATTGATGGATAGAGCATACAGTGAGTACACTCCACATTAATTTTAGCCAGTACATCATGGAAATACACTACTAACTGTTGCTACATATCTATTCCAGATTTTAGATCTCTCTCCTTGCTCAATTTTCTTCCTTCCCACTCCATTGCCTGAGAGAAATCCACAAACCATTTCTCCCATTTCTTGCCTGTATTTTAAAAATACAGTTGCACATTCTCCCCCAGCTGTTAAAATTGATGGGCTTCCCATTCTAGTCCATTTTTTTCCCATGCAGGATCACACAGTAAGATCATTTCAATTTGAGATACATTCACTCCCCAATCAGCACCCTTGCAAACAACAGAGTTACAGTATAATCAATCATTAAGCTTCCTTTTTACATGAAAAGGAAATAGAATAGTCAGTTTCCAACCCAAATATCTATACTCCCCGAACAACAGTGGAAAGTCATTCTTCTTGATGCTTGACCCAGAATCAAATGAATACTCAGACTCCTAGGCCTACAGCCAGTGGCAACTGCACATATTGTACAGTTGACCTTCTGGGAAAATGGGAAACCAGTGCTCTAACCATGGTGCCAGAATAAAGCCAACTAATCTGTAAGGCACAAAACAAAATATTCTTAAGGCAGGAAAGAAATTGTGAGGAAAATAGGGAATTAGAATGGAGGCATACGAAGAAAAATATATATTGCCAAGCAAAGACTAGTTTTTCTAGAGTTCTCAGGGCTTTCATATTTAGAAACAAAATGAATTATTTTCTTTTGGAGTTTTAACTGCTTATCATCCAGTAAAATTATAAAGATGTAAAAGAAAGATGAATTTTTTTTATGAGGCTTAGAGACTTAAAGGGAATTCTCTTTGGTAATTTTACCTTGAGCCAATGACATTATGAACAGCGATGGCAAACCCTCCTAAATATCAGTCCTCAAGTACTTCCTAGGTCAGGAAATGGGAAAGCAGTTCAAAATTAAAGGATAAAAATAAGAATAAAGGCCTACACATGGCTCTATACCCAAGATGGAGGAAGGTCAAAAGAAGGTACAAACACTGTAACTGGGAAAACCTTTTAATATAAAACATACCTGGGGCCATCTTACCTACTTATTCTCTATCCTAGTTGTACTCTTTAATATAAAGTTCAGCAAATCCTCAGATAACAAAATCATTTAAATGGAAAAATCAAAAGGCTTGGTTACAAAATATGGAAATTTTTCAAGTGCCAAAGAAGATACACTAAAGGCAAAAAAGAATTGGATTATTCTAGTAATGGATGCTGTCTATCACCAAAGGTGATCTACAAACAACTTTATAACGTTATAGCACTGTATTCTTTAAACTTTTAAGCAAGAGAAGTATAGCTCAAATCACCAGAAACTTACGTTTGCATATTTATGGCAGTGGCTTTACAAACAATTATCTTCTACTGCTCATCTGAGTTAGCACAAACAGGTCAGAGATGGTTTCTTGTGTGCTTTACAAATACTCTATACAAGTCCTTGAGATCATACTTACAGCTTTAGCAAAAACACCCATGATTTCAGGAAATTGGTGCGTGAGAAGGGCTATCATTGCTGTGGAAGAACATAGTCCTGCTGTAAAATGGATGAAAAAAGGAAGTTCCTTCTTTGGATATACAGAAACATGATGAAAGGCTGCAAGGGACAAAAAGCAGGAGTGAATTTTATTTTACAATATAGTTTAAACTGGTTTTAATATTTTCAGATTAAATCTATCTTAAAAACTGAAAAGGAAAATTTTTTTAAGACCAAGAAGTCTCTGATCAAGCAAGGTACAAGAAGACAGTCATCCATTATTTCAGCATCGACAGCATTTCTAAATAGCTAGATCACCATACTGGGGTCTGGGACAGGATGGCATCGTGGGAAAGAACACTGATTACAAAGTCATGCTGAGGTGGCTTTGAAAAAGAGCTTTGTAAGTTATTAGCGTGTGCTTTTGAGTAAGTTGCTAAATCCTGTAAAAGTTGCTATGGAGTTGTCATGATGAACATTGTAAGTACTGAGTAAAACGTGAGTCGTTATTAATTCTTGTTCTCTGGAAGCTCAGAGAATAGTATAAAAAGAGGTATGTCAGAATTTTCTCAGAAGCATCAGTTAATAATTTTATCAAGATATCAGTATGTTTCTCTATATGACATTTCATTGCTCACTGTAAAAGTGAATTACAAAATTAAAGCTTTAGATTCTGGCCATAAATTAATGCCTTTTCTTACTCTACTACATTTACATATTCAAGTATTATTTTTTTGATTGCAGATTTCATTACTGATTATATTCAAGTATTTACATTTTATTTAAAATTTATAAAGTACCTGAATAACAATGCAGAGATGAACCTATTATAGTGCCTGACACACAGTAGGTACTCAATAAGTTTCTATTAAACTGGGAACTATTCTGAGACTTCATTAATCCAGGATGTTGACAGCTGAGGTCTAGATGCTTGCTAACTCAGGAATTTCTGATATATAGTAATATCCTGCATTAGTAAGGGATGACTAATTCAGTGCTGAACCCAGGTCAGCTATAAATTTCACTTTTTCAACACAATGATTAACAGAGAAGATTACATCTAAACTTCCTTCAATAGCTACAATATTTTTATGTACCTTATACAATTTCAGAAAGTATATACCAAAAAACAAATTCACTTTAAAAAGCCATGAAATTTCCAGAGTCTTAAGGAGCCAAATTTAAAATACAAACACAATGGAACTGAAATTTTTAAAAGTTAGAAACATCACAGCTACTCAGGAGGCTGGAGCAGGAGGATTACAAATTCAGGGCTAGCATGGGCAACCTAGACTCTGTTTAAAAAAATACTTTAGAAAAGCGCTGAGCTGGAAGCATAGCTCAATACAAGGCTCTGGGTTCAATCCTCAGTACAGAGAGAGAGAAAGAGGGAGAGAGGGAGAGAGGGAGAGGGAGAGAGAGAGAGACAGACATTAAGAGACAGACAGAGAAACAGAGAACAGAGAGAGACTGAAAGAGACGGAGACGGAGACAGACTTTTTAACTCACTATGCTTTCAGCATACAAAATAGCTCTCAATCACTTTTGCTCTGTTCCTCAGGTATTACAGGCCAATTTCTTGTAGAAAATCAAAAGAAATAAACCTTGGTATATTTCAGAAGGCAGGAAATAAAACAAAAATTAATAATGTTAAGTGAACTGTTTAGTATTTTATGGTTTATAATAAGTACTAATTTGAGTTTTTTTACTAACCCTAAGAGATAGATGGTATCATTCCCAGAAAACTGCACAGTTTGTGTAAGAAAACTTCCTTAAATATGAGCTTTTTATACTGCAAGAGAGACCTAATTATTTCTTTCTGGATTGCTTCCTGTAGATTCATTTGTCAGTCAATGTTTGGTTAATCTATCAATATAATGAATGACTGACTAGTACAGAAACATTCCCTTGGAATGAAAGTTCAAATTTCATCACTAGTTTGTAGAGAAAAATTTATCAGGAGGCATAATAGACAACTAAACAGCTATGTGAACTAGGAATACAGTTCAAGTCTGGACTTATGAGGTCCATAAGCAAATTCCAGAATGTTGTAAGGCATATCAAGGTTGAAGGAATTAAAAACAACAAAAAATTAAGTACTCCTGGGTATTAGAATTCTACATTATTAAATATTTGTTCATTCTAACATGGGCAGAGACAGGAAAAATATTCTAAGAACATATAGTATAATCAGACAAAGTCCTCTAGTTTACCCTTCACCGCAACCTCCCAGAGTATACACTCTACATGGAGTTGGAATTAATAAAGCCTTACCAAAACAAACTGTCTGGTCTTGTAGCATATGACTCTGATATATGAAATTACTCTTAATTTATTCATATTAATATGTAAAATTGGCCTTAGCTTTTATATTACAAAGGGGACATTATTTTAATATATTTGTTTAACAGACTTTTGTATATCAATGTTCTATCATTAAAGATTCATTCCTTTGCTTTAAAATCATTGTTCCTTTTTAAATGGAAAAATAATGACAAGAACAAATACTACCACCTTCACCCTAGGAAGGAAAATGAAATTTCTCTCACTAATGATCTCCTAATTGCCAAAGTCAATAGATTCTTCTCAGTAAATGCCTTCTCAGATACTCCTCCGCATTTGGAAATTTCTTCCTCCTTTTAGTTTCTAGAATATCTAGTTCTGGCTCTTGCACTATCTCTCTGACCACTCCTTCAATAAATCTCCCAACTATTTTCCTGCCATCAATTCCTTAGACATTTTTGCACCATCATGGTTCTATCCTTAGTTCAGTTCTTAACACTCTACAATTTCCCTTCGTGATCTCATTTTTGCCTAGAAAGACAACTTCCCCCTCTTTTCTCCTCTTCCTGCCCCCTCCTCTCCATCCTGCCCTCCCTATGCTCCCTTCCTTCTCTTCCTTTTCTATTTTAGAGACTGTGTTTTCCCCTGTTGCCCAGGTTGGCCTCAAACCCATAATCATTTGGCTAGTATTTTGTTGCAGATGTTTGTCTTTATAAGGGCTACTATTATACAGTTTTCTTGTACCTTTTTCTCATTTTGGTATCAGGATAATACAGGCCTCACCCAATGAGTCCGGGAATATTCCCTCCATTATTTTCTAAAAGTTTGTGAGGGCTGGTTATTTCTCTTATAAATTTTTTAAAAAGATGACTGCTGTTTTTAGTATCTTTAATCTTTGTGTCCTTTCTTGCCTCTAGCATAGGATTTTGCCCAACAATATTTGAAAATGAACTGAATCATTATGCATTTATATCCTAGAAATGGCTATGAAAGTCAACAGTCTGAAAGAGTCTTATTTTTTTCTTTTTTGTGTGTGTGGTACTCAAGATTGAATACAGGGCAACTGTATTGAGCTATACCTTCAGCTCATATTTTATTATTTATTTTGAGATAAGGTATCATTAAGTTGCTAAGTTGCCCAGGCTGGGCTCTAACTTGTGATCTTCCTGCCTCAGCCTCCCAGAGTGTTGAGACTGAAGGTGTGTACTACCACATCTGACTCATTTTTTAAATGAAGAACACTATGGGAAATGCTATGTTGGACTATGGTTTGTGTCCCTTCAAAGATTCAAGTGTTAGGAACTTGGTCCCAAGTGGGCGGTATTAGGAAACAGAACGCTTAAGAGGTAGGGCCTACTAGGAGGTCACTAGGTGTGCCCTTGGAAGGGATGTGGAAGGGACTGTGGGATGCCAATTTCTCTCTCTCTGTTTCTGGATGGAGATATAATCACTGACTTACCCTGTACGTGCTCCTGCCACTGCTATCCACTCATGAGCTGATGCCAAGGGTCTGCCATTACCACAAAGTTTGCACTATTCTGTTTGTATATTGAACTTCCAAAACTGTGGGCTAAATAAATCTTTCTTTATAGGTAGCCTATATCAGGTATTTTGTTACAGTGATAAAAATGTGACTAATATAGAAAACAATTTAAACAATTACTTGTAAGTTCTTTTAAAATGAAATATTTACTTACTAGGTAACAGCTCTCTATCGGCAGTCTCTGTGCAGCTGGGATAAGGGTAAAATAGATGTCCTTTCTCTAATGGGTATGGAATCATTCTAAAAGCTGAGAAAAAATACATTTGTTGACATTCAATTATATCTCATTTGTCATCCTATGCTATAGATCAAAACTATTTTGGAGATATATTTTTACAAAATTAACACAGTGTTTTGTTTTCATTTTAGATGAAAGAAAGTAAGCAAAAGGGGCCAGGGATTTAGTTCAGTAGTTCTGCTGCCTGTCTGCAAGCACAAGTGCAAGGTCCCGAAGTTTGATCCCCACTGCCAAAAAAAAAAAAAAAAAAAAGAAAAAGAAAAGAAAAGTAAGCAAAAGAATTAATAAGGGGGAAAATATGATTTATTTAGAGAACAGTCAAAGATTTAGTTTAGCTAGAACAAGACTAAAGGCAGTGGTGGGTGGTAGCACATGCCTGTAATCATAGCACTTAGGAGGCTGAGCCAGGAGGATTGACATGAGTTTGAGGCCAGCCTGGGCTACATAGTAAATTCAAGGATAGCCTGAGACCCAGTCCAAAAAGAGAAAAAAAAGGAGATTGGGCCCTTCTTTGCCTCAGTCTCCTTATTACAATAATGGACTTAACTCTACATTTATAAACTTTGCTTATTAAAGAAACCTTCATAAAATTGTTGTAGCCCTAACTGTTGGGAATCTTTTTTTTTTTTTTGGTACTGGGGATTGAACTCAGGACCTTGTGCTTCTAAGGCAAGCAGCAGCACCATTCAGCTAAATCCCCAGTGCTGTTGGGAGTCTTTTAAGGGAGTTCTCAGTGGCTCCTAAATTCACATGTGAAGTTCACCAAAGTTTTCTATGAGGCAAGGTTAATCTAGCTCAGGATTCACCGAAGTGTAACCCTTTGACCAGATCTGACCCGCTATCTGTTTTTGTAAATAAAAATTTACTGGAACACAACCATTCTGTTCATTTATATATTGTTTATATATTCATTTGGTGTGGTGGCACCTGCCTGCAATCACAGCACACAGGAGGATTGTGAGTTTGAGGCCAGCCTAGGCTACATAGTGAATTAAAGGCCAGTCTGGACTACATATTGAGACTCTGTCTCAACTAAAAATGAAAAGTTGTTTTCATGATGTAAGAATTGAGTAGTTGTGACAAAGACTATATGGCCTGCAGAGCCTAAAATATTTACTACTTGGCCCTTCACAGAAAACTTTGCCCACCTCTGATTTAGACTGTCACCAACTCTTGAGGAGTTATCAAAGAAGAAAGCCTTATTAATCTGTTCCACTAGCTAAGTACTCATCAGAACTGTGATAAGCTTTTTGTTTTTCCTTCAGTGGTTGGTTCTATCAACTTTTGTCAAAATATAGACTTTGCTTTATTATAACAAAAAGTAATTACTTGCCCAAAGTCAATCAGCAAATTGGAGATAAGATGAGGCAATCATTCATCAGGATGCATAAAATACACAATATAAATCATATGGAATACCCACTATGTGCCGGACAGAATACCAGGCAAAGAAGAAACATACAGTAGCTGGTCTGGGGGGCTTATAGACTACTAGAGAAAACATGACTACTCAAAAGCACTCAGTACATAATCTTGGTTTTATTAATCTTTTTGTCAAGAGCAATATATGACTATTTCCAAATAATGCAGTGGTTCCCAAATTTTCTTGGTTCTCATGCTGTCCTTCATGGATCAGGTTTATTTTCTATTTATTTATATGTGTATGTGTGTGTGTGTGCTGGAAATTGAACCCAAGACCTCATATACACTAACCCTGCCTTCTACCACTAAGCTATATACCCAGTCTCAGAAATGTTTTATGATGCCATAGGTTGAAAAAAAAAATATAACCATTTTAGTGGGTCCAGACAACTTTAAAAGTTTATGTTCTAACACCTTAGCAATATTTTAAAAATAAACATAAATTGAAAATAATTTTTCTTACTTTTAAATAACCGTTATTTCAGCAGTGCATGGTGGTACACACCTGTAGTCTCAACTATTCAGGGGGATGAGGGGGAAAGATCACTGAGCCCATGAATGCAAGGCCAGCATAGACAACAAAAAAAAACCCATCTCAAAAAAAGCCAAAAAACCAAAACTATCATTTCTTACTAGTAAGATGTATGCATGAAACTGTTAGACAGTGTACAACTTGGAATCAGACTAGATACCACCATCCTCATGCCCTGTTCCACACTGATTTTTGTGTGGTAGTTTTTAAAAATAATAGCAGACTAACAAAATCCAGCTTTGCAAAATATAGATGGAGAGTGATACAATGTTGAAACTGAAAGACCTGGAACTAGCAATTTTAATAGTGTCAGGCAGAGTTGAGTATTATTGTATTTTCATGAAAACTTTAAAAATATCCCATGACATACTTATGAACTGCTACAATGTTACAAGTACCTCACTGTAAATACTGAGAACTAAAAAGGCTAAACAATTTTAATGAATAAGCACTGAATTTACTTTTGAAGTTTTATTGATAGTTGTGGTATACCTTCTGAGAGAATTATGAATATGCAATTGATAAAATATTTTGAGTAAGCTTTTTCACTTTCTTAATGGTTAAGAAGATAGAAGAGATCTGTTAGTTAAAACAGTCCAATTCTCCAAAGAAAATATACAAATGGCCAATAAACACATGAAAAGATGCTCAACATCACTAATCATTAGAGAAATGCAAATTAAAATCACAATGAAAGTCTACTTCATACCCATCAGAATCAAACAAAACTCAAAGCAGAAGGGCCAGAGATTTAGCTCAATGGTTCCGTCTCCTGCCTTGCAAGTGCAAGGACCCAAGTTCAATGCCGGGTACCAAAAAAAAGTGAAAATAACAAATGTTCACAAGGATTTGGAGAAATTGGAACTCTTGTTCTAACTCTTAGATCGCTGATTGGAATGTGAGATGATGCAGCTGCTATGGAAGACAGAATAGTGGTTCCTTGAAAACTTGATTTTATATCCGGCAATTCCACTTGTGGGTATACACAAGAGAATTGAAAGCAGGAATTCAAACAGATATTTGTACATCAATGTACATAGCAGCTACTTGAGAGTCAAAAGGTAGAGACAATCCAAATGTCCACTGACAGATGACTATATACACAAAATACAGCATAGAATGAAATATTAAGATAAGAATGAAATTCTGAAACAAACTATATGAACCTGGATGATATGCTAAGTGAAATCAGCCAGAACTGAAAGGACAAACATTGTTATGATTCCCCACATGAGGTACCAGAAGTCATACTTCTAGACAGACAATACAATGGTGGCTGCCAGACGCTGGGAGAAGTAAGAATGGAAAGTTATTACTTAACGTGTACAGAATTTCCATTTGGAAGGACTGAAATGTCTGGAGATGGATGGAGATAATGGTTGCACAACAATGTTGAATGTATGTAATGCCACTGAACAGAACACAGAAATGGTTGAAATGGTTAAAATGTTAAATTTTGTTATATTTTATCACAATTAAAAATAAGAATAGAGTTAATATAGTTAAGAGGAAAATAGTTTCATGTTGTATACATCTGAAAATAAAATAAAACCAGACCAATTTTTAAAATATAAGAATATGGCCGGGGATGTAGCCCAGTAGTAAAGTACATGCTTACCCATATCTGTAAGGCTTTAGGTTTTACAAAAAACTACAGCAATTGCTTAACCACATTAAAAAGTTAACAAGCTAAAGGGCATAACTTGTCATTTTCTTTCCTTATATTTAACTTAAGTGAACAAATGGCAGAATACCATGACAGTTTCTCACTCTGCTCTTCCTAACTGTGGCAGAAATACAGATATATCAACCATTTTTTTAACCAATAAACCAAATACAATGCCACTAAATTCACTTTGAAACCAATCTAAACAACAAATTCTTACATAAATTCAATCTCATTTAAAAAGATGGTCTTTTAATGTAATGAAGAGTCAGAAATTAGTGTTACAGGGCTGGGGATTTAGCTCAGTGGTTCCACTGCCTGCCTCACAAGCCAAGGACCCAAGTTCAATCCCCCATACCAAAAAAAAAAAAAAAAAAAAGGCCTCTATAAGAAATTAATGTTATATGTAACTACTGTATACCTAAAATGTACCAATAAACTCAATGAGAAAAAAAAAGAAATTAATGTTACATTTAGAAAAGAATACTTACTGCCTTCCCATGTACACTGCAACAGATTAAGAGCACCTTCTATTCGTTTCCAATGCTGAAGATGAAAGAAAGCATAGGCAACTGCTTCACTGTCACCCCGCTTCAAAATATGTTCTGGTGGTAAAATCAAACTTTTCATTTCTAGTAAATACTGCAAGAATAACATATACATACATACAACAGAAAAAAAATTAAATTCTGCTTAGTTCAAACATCTATAAAGATACATTCAAAATGCTAAAGTCAAATTGATTTTTTAAAAATCATATACATCAGGCCAGGGATTTAGCTCAGTGGTTCGGTGGCCTGCCCTGTAAGAGCAAGGACCCAAGTTCAATCCCCGGTACCAAAAAAAAAAAAAAATTATATACATTAAAAAAGTTCAAATGACATGGAGGATCTTTTGAAAACTTGTGTATAAAATGCTTAAAGAGGGCTGGGGATGTAGCTCAGTGGTTCCACTGCCTGTCTCACAAGCGCAAGGTCCTGAAGTTCAATCCCTGATTAAAAAAAAAAAAAGAAGATGTAAACTTTACCAAATTCTAAAAATCAGAATATTTCTATAGGTAAAAATATGGCATCAAATGGCCTATGTGGCCTTTTTAAAAAAATATATATACCGGGGCTTAAACTCAGGACCTTGCCTTTGCTAGTCAGACAGTGACACCACTGGGCTAAATCCCCGAATCTGTGTGACCTAATACAAAATGGAAACTCAAGCTGAGGAAATAATCTGAGAGCAAATATTTATTTCCAAAGAACAATTACAGGTAAAATGATAATGCAATTTTGGAATAACACGTGGCAACATTCAATTCTTTGTTCTTTTATTTCCATTTTATAGGTGAAAAACTTAACTGTGGAAGAATTCAACTGAACTCATACTAAGAGCAAAGCATCATACTTGTTAGAAAATATCACTTCCAGCAACAAAAATCATCCTCCCTGTTCTCTGAGCTTCATAATGTAATGGGAAAAAGATTTCTTAAGTAAATAAAGATAGCCAGACTGTGTGAGTGCCTTATTAGAGGCATAGACAATCTACATAGATATATGACAGGAAATATTTTTTGTTTTTAAAAACATCTTTGAAATAGAATTGACATACCTTAGAATTCATTTATTTAAAGTATACACTTCAATGATTTTTATTATATTCACAGGTATGTACATCCATTATCATAGTCAATTTTATAACTAGAGAAGGAAATCCAGTACCCTTTAGCCGTCACTCTCTACTCCCTCATTCTCCAACCCCCTAATCAAGCACTAACCTATTTTCTATCTCTATAAATTTGCCTATGCTAAGTATTTTAGTGTTTTATTTTGTTTGGTACCAGGGATCTAACTCGAGTCCTTGTGCCTGCAAACCAGGCACTGGAACCACTGAGCTAAATCCCCAGCCCATATACTGAGTATTTTATACAAATAGAATCATACTATATGTGATCTTTTGTGACCAGTTTCTTTCATTTAACATGTTTTCCAAGTTCATCCAGGCAGTAGCACATATAAATACCTCATTCCATTTTGTGGTTCAGTAACATCTCATTGTATGGATACATGGATATACCAAAATTTGGTTATCTATTCATCGGTTAACAGACATTTGGTTGTTTTTACCTTTTGGCTGTTAAGAATAATACTGTTATAATAATCTGTAAATAACTTTTGGTGGGAATATATGTCTTTAATTTCTCTTACATAAAAAGCCATAAAGAGCGAGAGAATAGATTCATTCATAGGAAAATGGATACATATTGAAGATATACTCCTAAGTGAAATAAATAAGTCACACATGTGTAAATACCAAATAGTTTCCCTGGTGTGAATATTCTGCAACAATGCATAAGATTCTAATAAGATTACTGACATTTAGAAATTTGAAGAAAGGAGCTAAAGGTGTAGGGAAGGTGTGATGCGTAGGGGAAGAACAAAAAGGGAAAAGAAAAAAATGTGAGAGAATGAAAAGATGAAAATAAAGTGTTTGTAGATGGGGAGGGGAGGAGGGGGTGAAGGGAGGGCAGAGGTAAGGGGAAAAAATGAGAATCAAGACTTGCCATGTAGAGGTGCATGATCCCAACAATGAATGTAACTGTACTGTATCCCTAAAATGTACCAATAAACTCAATAAAATTAAAAAAAAAAAAACCTTGGAATAGGACTGCTGGGTCATATGATAACCATGTTTAGAATGTATTATGAGTTAGGGGCTAGAAATAAACCACTTGATGGGATTTGAGCTGATATTTAAAGATGGTAGTTATGTGGGTAAGCAGCCTGTGTGCGGGAGAGGGGAGAACAGGACAGCATCTGCAAAGCACAGACCTATCTTGAACACAGGCACTGAACCAGAACAGCACAGCACTTAAGGGATTGGAAACTGTACCTATTATGGTCTACCAATTTTTCTTCACGTATGAAATGAAATTTTGTCTCTGACTCTTGAAGAAAACACTCATTCTAGCATAACCCATACCAAAACCAGTATAATTATAAGACTAATCAAAGGATATGAATTACATAATGAAAGATACAAAATTAACCATGTGTATAACAACCTTCTACTAAGTGGTCAACTGAAAACAAAACCTTCAAAAAATATTTAGTTAGATAAATCCTTCCTGCAAACACTAAGGCCAGAATGTATTTTCCTTCTAGAGTAGGTTTGAAACAACCTCTTTGGTTCTAAACAATTTGATAGTATATTATGTGTCTAGCCATATTAACTTATATTATAAAACATAAAAAGAGAAAATTCCAGAGTTGTCTCAAAAGACAGATTCTTACGTATCAAATTCCAGTAGCCCAGGTCATTATATAAACTGATAATACCAATAAAGGGTTATATTTATGAAATACTTTATAAGATTTCTACAAGGAATAACACTCTGGGGAGAATCTTAAAAACAAAAAATTTGTAGTGGTTTTGAAATTTAAGCCTTAGGTTCCTAACTATTATGTATGTACTCATCTTATTAATATCTAAACAATTTTTTCTTCTTTATTTATGAAATGTGCCTCTCCAACCATTACTGAGCTTAATGCCTATCTTTAATTACTCTTACTCTTGATGTCTCTGTTCTCAAAGTGTAAGAATGCCGTCTGCTCATCGATTTATTTTAGCAGATGTCACAAACTATGAGATTATTTACTAATCCACTTTGGGGACTTAACAGTTCCCATTCAGTTTCTTAAAGGAATGCAGCAGAGGTTGTGTCCTGGTCAAGCAAAGCCCATTTGCTGCCTGGTTGGGTTCTCTTCTCTTAATGCCTTGGGCCTATATTCAGGAGAGCAATATTCTTTCTAATCCTCTCTAATCCTTGCCCATTTTTTGAAACACAGTAAAAGATCACTCACACCAAGCGGCTGTGGGAAAATGGACTCAAATAGCTGACCTCTGACATGACTCCTTATGTTCTTTGCAAGTGCACTAAGAGCTTCTTCACTAGGTGGCAAAGAAAATGTGGCAATCACAGTGGAATCACCATCATAAAAAGAGTATCTCATTTTGAGAAGAAAACTTTACTCTTACACCAAATCCTTCCTATTAAAATTTTGCTTTACTTTATAGATACAAAGGGGGGAAAATCCAAAATGATTTTCAATGAGTTTTAGAATCCAGGAGCTTTAAATTAAACCCCAACATAGTAATTATTTAGTATACTGGCAACCACTTAGCAAATGTAAGCAAAGATAAATGGATAACAATTATTCAGTAAAATTTAGAAAATATCAATGAAAATATTTCTGAATAGCAACTATACACTTATATTTTCACTGTTTTATAATTTAAATATCAATTCAAGAGGTAAACATGTGACAGACACTAGGACATTATCATTCAGAATTTTATATTTTAAAATATTTTGCTAGTTGATTTTTTTTTAAAAACCTTTCCTCCAGGGCCAAAGATTTAGCTCAGTGGTGCTAGCACTGTCTGGTTCTGGGAAAAACAAAAAACAAAAAAATCTTCCCTCCACTACCTGAGACTTTATTATCATGTCCTTCCTATCAGCATATGTCCTTTTCAATTTGAATTTACAGCAAAGCATTTTTTCAGTTTCTAATTTGATACTGAAATAAAATTTGGCTCCTAAAATATAAAAGAAAAATTTTAGTAACAAAAATATATTTCATGAGCTGGGGTAATGGGCAGTGATAAGCATGTACTCCACATGTACAAGGTCCTGGGTTTGATACCTAGCACACACACACACTCACACGCATACACACATAAATATTTAAAGTAAGATACAGAATTATTACTCATTTTTTTTCTTCACAAACTGCTATCCAGGACTTTCTGCTAGCCAGAATGGGCCATTGGTTACTGCACAACAGAAATCATACCATTCATATTCTACTACAGTACCTAGTATATAATTCAACCAAAGCAGGTCTAACTTGCTTTTTAACTGAGTTGATAAGATATACATAGCTAAAATGTCTGAACTCATATTTCAGTTTTGACTTAAAGATACTTTCTAACTCTTGGCAAACTAAAACCATACAAAAACCAAAAACACCTAATTATCCAGACTTTAATGTTTTTTTAAATAGTGCGAAGAATTAAACACTTTACCATTTAAAGAATATGAAAGGGTAAAAATTGAATGGTGGTTTATGTTGTTCTGGTCTTTTATTTATGCTTAGAAAAGCAAACAGTGTACAAAACTGTAAATATAACAAATTAATTTATGTTTATCTAGATTTCTTTTTATAAATAATATACACTCTTTTCGTGGCTGTGCTGGCGATCAAACCCAGGGCTTTGCACATGTTAGGCAAGTATTCCACCACAAAGCTAACCTCCACCCTCTATGAATAATATATTGATTACATTTTTCTGAAAAATGTGGATAAAACTGTTACACAACTTACTGTTTACTTCATATATCTTATATATCTCTTTTTGTTTCTATATAGATCACTCACAATTATATAGTAATCCATTAAAAGCTGAGTTACTCCATAAAATAGATCATGCTGAAACTGCATTAACCATCCTTTTAAAAGGTAAAAAATAATATAATTAACCAAGACTTGTGAAAAATCACTTAAAAATTTCAAGACTGTGGGTATAAAATTTTACTCCTGTAAACACAGGCTTTGAAAGCAATAGTTTTATTTGTTTTCAATAGGTTTATT